AGTTAAATATATGTTCTGTTTTGCCACTATATTTTGTATTGTTCTTTTGCCATTTTCTCAAGTTTGATTTCTAATTTTTCGTTTCGTTCAACATTTACGATGTCAATTTGAAATAGCACTTTTTGCGGTTGCATTGTTGTTGAATGTCGCCCCATTTACAATTCACAATTTGTTCATTATTGTATCGATGTTTTGGATGAAATGGAGACCCATTATTATTATTATCAATAAGGTAGAATGTGTGTCTTTGAACCCAACATCGATTTATAATCTTGTTATACTAACCTTCTCTCAACCATTTCATCGATGAATTGATTCTTAGTCGGTTTTCTGTAAGTCATCATCCTTTGAACAAACCTTCGTTTGATTTTGCTTTCTTCTTTGATGATTTTTTCTCTAGTATATGTATCTCTTTCATAAACTGCTCGTTCATTGAACCAAATCCGCATGTATTCATTAGATATTAAGAGTCGCATATGTTCTTGTGTTTCCTGAAGATTTTTTCAAATAAATTATGCCATTTTCATCATCTGCATACTCACATTTTCGTATGATGGTTTGAAACCGAGTTGATTTTTTTCTTTGGCTTTGGATGATATAATGTTATCTGGAGATTTGAAAGGTACTGCAGCAGACCATTTCAGAAGAGCTTTACTCATTATTGTATAATGAAATTTTTTTTTTGACAAAACAGTGTGTCACGTTAACTTGACAATTTGATTGAAAATGTGACTTCGGAATAGTGCCACCATGGATACTGCCAAAATGTTATTCCTGAAAGTGTATATTACACTTTTTTTGTGGTGCTGGGTTTATAGATTCAATTAATCTAACAATTAGGAATTATCAATTAACAATCAACAATTAATAATCATGGGGGTGTTCATACATATCTGATAATAATTAAGAATTAGATGTGAAATGTCCTTTGACTAATGATCAAAATGTGATGTTATTTTAGCCTCCACAATTCATGAATCCATGAAGAATATTCCAATTAAATATCACCAATCTCCATCTGAACAGTAACAAATCCAATCTTTATGTTCTGCCTCCAGAATTTCCTAATTTTTAGTTGTTAAATTGAAAGTTGGCCAACTTTGTAATTCTTAATTCATAATATAAATGACAGATGGAAATGTATAAACCCTCATAGATGTTTCCTTGCATTCGACTTCTTAAATTAATAGTTGTTAGTTTAATGCTTAGTTTAGTTGAATCTATGAACCCAGCATGGCAGGAAGAAGGACGAAATTATCGACGTGAAAATTGAAGTTTTAGAATTACACCTGCGTTGCACAAAATTCCAAAAAAAACAAATGCTAGAGCCACAATGCTTCGTGTCGAATAATTTGAATAAACCTGTATAATAGAATATAGTTCAGGTCGTCAATGCCGTATGACTTATTTCATAAATAACGTACCATGACGTCACTTTTACTTTCCCTTCCTAGGGAGGAAAATAATTAGGAGCACTCATAGTATTATTACCTCTGACAACACAATGAAATCTTTGTTTTATGAGGAATGGAAAGGAGATTGAAGTCATAAAAGTTATGTTTTATTTATCCTATTTCGCCACCGAATTCACTTTTATGTATCGCTTTATTTGCAACTTTTCCGATTGAATTGGCTACTTCTCATTCGGTCTCCCTACAAGGAATATGACGTGGAATGACTGTTCACAGTTGTGGAAAAATGAAATTAGATTGATGAAAAATGAAATTAGATTGATGAGAGACGAAACTTTTGAAAGTAGAAGTCGTTATCGTGAGGTTTATACTTTCGGACTACAATCTGAAGAATACAAATTTAAATTTCGATACAATGCTAGAAATAATAAGCATGAAAGTGTCAAAATTTTATGATTTCTTCAAGTAGGTAGGACAGGTAGGACAGGTTCCATATATCTTAATTCCCAGATAAAATGAGTTCTCTCGATCGCAGATAACTTTCTTCAATCACAGCAGTCACAGAAATCCCTGCTCCAAATATACAGTCGTATTCAATAAAGAAGCGTACATGTATTCAAGAGAGAGGATTTCGGGATCCTAGTTCTAGTTGTGTAAAACTGGCTCAGCCAATGCTTTGTGTTTTCGAGGACCTATGACAACTTTACTATCAACATTTGGTGAACAATCATTCCCGATAGCCCTTTTTATACAGAATAGTATGACGTTAATTTCTCTCTGTAATATACTTGTACGCTTTTTTTAATGCGACTGTATATTGATTCGTTTTCTTGATTTTTAATCCTAGAATAATGATTTTGTGATAATTCGGAGCCATCTATAGCAAGATCATGAAGTTTGTCGTTTTATTTGAAAACGTCATTCTGTTCCCAACACCGTTACTTGAATGGAACAAATGAAACGCAACTACAACAGCTTCAACATTTTCTTCTTCAGTATCTGAAGAAGATCATACCCTGATGGCTCTATCCGGGTGTGATAGAATGATACAAATTACTAGATGATTTGACTTCACTTTTTATTGGGTCACACAATTATAAATATCTTTACAAAATCGAATATTATAACAATTCCACTGATAACAACAATAAAACATAATATATGGCAACTTTCATAAAGTCTTTGGTTCAGGGCATATGTCGTTACTACTAACTTAAATACTTAAAAACTGGGAGGATGGATGAAACAGATCAATCAATCCTGATTATTTGTATGTACATACATGGCCCAGAGACAGATTTGGAAGAACCATCGCTTCGTCAATCTGTACTTCAGAACAAAAATTAGAAGGATAATGTTATCCGTAAGGTAATGCGATGGCAGTTTGAGAATATCAAATGTGAAAATATCAGCCAAAATACAGTACTCTTTCAGGTTTCAAATAATGCAGTGACATTGTCGTGAAGCAATTCATCTGATATTTGTCTTCAGGTAATATGAATATTGAAATAATAATATATGTCACCTTCCCGATTAACTACAGTGAGTATTCATTTGATTATGTTTGACATCCATGAGTCTTATGATTAATTTTTTTTCATCTCTTGAAGCGCACGAAGGGCAATTTCTCGCGTACCCAGGGAAGATAGAAATAATTAAAAAGACATGGACTAATTTCAAACACATTCAAGAGTGTCTTCATCTCTGCATTACGTCTAACGGTCACCAGATATGACTGATGTTATTTTCCACAGTCGATATTCTCCAACTACATTACTTTACAAAACAGAATCTGTCGAGAGTTTTTCATAAAAGTAGGTTTCTTTCTGTCGGAGTGTTGGACACGTTAAATATAATTGAGGTTTCAGTTCATCCCATAAAGAAGTAGGTAGTAGATTGGATATCAATTCACATAACATAATGTATTCATTAAATCGACTATAAGTTACTAGGTTCATCTTTGAAGTCTCGCATATTGGGAAATTTTGAATATTTTGTTCGTAGTAGAACCCTTATAAGTAGTGAAATCGTTTATTATTGAAAAATAATAAACATAGCTCGATGAGACTTGAGAATTGTATTTTCTTCACTCGTTTACACACTAGTTACAAATATACTATCAAATATTTTTTACTGGCGTAGGCACATGTGATTTGATTGTTGATTGAGTATTCATGATGAATCATAGTTTAAAACGTTTGTAGAAAGTTCCTTGCAGATAATAGGTTGGTATACATCAATGCCTTTCAGGCACTTAACATAAAGTACAACAATTCCTGAACTTATTATGCAAATAGCTTCTTCAAGAACATAGTATTATAAAATAATATATACATCTATTTCTATCTCTGCGTGAATATTCATAAAAATTTTCTTTAATTACTGTACAGGCGTATTCACTATATCATCCTTCCTCTCCTTGACTGTTATGTCGGAAGAGCTCAAGAACTATCAAACATAATTGAATGAAAAAAATGTAGAATTCAGAATGTCTTCAAATACTAGAAAAGAATAATTTGCTCGAATAATTGGTTGTCAAATTTGCGCAACATATCTGAAATATTCCAAATACTTCTTAGTAGTTACTTATATAATCTCGGTTACTTGATTGATTTTTAGTATACTTCATTCTCAGAAATAATATTTAGTAGAGATACTCTGATACTCATCACTAGAATAATCTCTGAACGATCAAGATTTTTATTCTATACCCTGTTAATCACAAATCACAATTCATATAGGGATTGAAGCTGAAAGCATTTCGATGCCTCAGTCTCGTACCTTTGGAGGCTTCAGAATGAAGACCATTCTCAGAATCAGATTTGATTTAATATCGCATAAATTATTCTTGATCGGAAAACTCACTATAATGACTATTATCCTGCATTAGAAATAATTAATTTGGTTCACCTCAACACACTCTTTTCACTATGAAGGGCGGATCTGATGGACGGTTTATTCATGAAGGAAACTGCTGGATGGGTTTGGAGGAGAAGCAGATGTGTATCCTATGGAAACAGGTCACAGAAGATGACGAAATCTGATGAGGAGATTTTCATTTGATACCTGCTAGTCAGACAATACTCAGCTAACTAAGTAGGTATATGGAAGATATACAAAATATTATGTCAATCTTCAAATTATGTACAGCATCTAGTAGTGAATGGAAGATGGTCAAATCTGATGAGGAAACCGGTACACGTTTATTTCATTGGCCCCTGTCCATAGGGAGGACCTATTCAAAGTGGTTTTGATACACTTTCGTAGGCATCGGGAAGAATCCTTTGAGTTCCATTTTTGTACACGCAAGAGTTTGCTTTTCAGTTTCAAAGGCTATGTCTGGGCTTGGTTTCCCGATAGTTCAACAAGGAGAATTCGAGAAGATTGGGAACATATAAGGATACGAAGGAGGCATCTAGTAGTAGAAGGAAGATTGCCAACACTGACAAGAAAATTTCCATGTGAACAAACAGCATAGCTTCTTGTCAGCTACTATATCTAAATACGTGGAAGATATACACGATAAAATATCAGTCTTGCAAATCATATCCAGGATTCAAAATACCCTTGATTTCCAAGAATTGTTCGTCAATCACGAATTGCATCGCAAAGAGTTTCTAAATACGAAACAGGGTCGTTGATTTCATTGGGTCTCAAATAACCCTGTCCATCGAGCAGATCCATTTGGGCCATCACTGGCAAAGGCGGCGGCCTAGGTAAACTCTTGTTAGCGCCAGGTCGCATCTTCTTGGTTTCGGTTTCGTACACGCAGGACGTTTGCTTCTCACTTTCATAGGCTATTTCCAGTTTCTCGCAGATGTTAGGAAAGATTATCCGATGCCTGGGCTCGGTTTTCCAGCAGTTTCTCATCAGCTCGCATATTAGGGTGGGGCAGTCTTGGGGGGGTATCAGCATGATGCCGTCGAGGATGAGCTTGACCACTTCTTCGTTGGTGTGGCCGTAGTAGGGTTGTTTGCCGAAGCTGAAGATCTCCCAGAGGACTACGCCGTACGACCAGATGTCGGATTCCAAGGTGAATCTGCCATAGACGACACTTTCCGGAGACATCCAACGAACTGGCAGTAGGCGGGAACCACCAATCTGGAAAACAGATACATGAAATACACTCATGTTCAACTCAAGATACCTTGGAGTTCCACATCAACTCTCACGTTGAGTCATTTATGGTTTTTTTGTTTTGTTAAGCAACTGATAGTGATATTGCAGATATGCACGATTCGAATCATCCCGAAGTCGACAATCTTAAAAACGGGTCACCAGAACAATGGAAATAGAGTGTGGATTATTGATCTCATGGAACTGGTAGGGATGGTATGAGAAGGATAAAGAATCCTTGCCAGTCATGGAATCACTGATATTTCAGAAAAAATGATAAGTCAAGACTGGCGAGAAGTGAATATCACTGAGAAAATTCTATCTGGTCATTGATTGTATCTTCCGTAGCCCTCTCGCTCTGGTGAATTCCAGAATTATTGTACCTCCATAATTGGGGAATATACAAGGGTGCATCCGTCAGAAGTAAGAGAAACTGGACTTCCCAACCGATTTCGGCCTCGTAGTGTAGTAATCGCACGTGTACACACACGTCCCGACTCATCCCGAAGTCAGCGATCTTGACCACAAGCGAATACGAAGAAAAAGATCAGAAGAATAGAAGCAGCAAAGAAGGAGAAAAAGAGAAAGAAGGAGGAATGGTGTAGTAACTAAGAATCGAATGTAGTAATCGCACGTGTACACGTCTCGACTGATACTGAAGTCGGCATTCTTGACCACGGGCAAAGACGAACTCGAAGATCAGATGAATGGATGCAGAAGAAAAGAATCAGAAGAAGAGGAAAAGAAGGAAATGGAGAAGAAGGAATGAATAAGTAACTTTCGTCATCAGAGATTGACTGGTGACCTGCTCGCTTACGTCTCACATATATAATAGCAATCTATTGAAAAATATGGTGAAACCTTAGCAGTGGCACTTGACATCCCCAAGGCATTCGATCGAGTCTGGTACCACGGACTCCTCGCCAAGCTTCCATCATCTTATGGCTTGCCTCCCCAGCTATGTTCTCTGCTAGCGAGTTTTCTCTCAAACAGGTCTCTCCATGTAGTGGTCGACGGAGCTTCATCTGACTCTTTTATCATGAATGCTGGTGTTCCGGATCAATTCTAGCACCAACACTATTTCTACTCCATATCAACGGTTTGTTGGGAGCAACTTCATGTCCAGTACACAGCTTCACGGATGATAGTACCCTACATACCGCCTTCTCTTCTAGGGCTCCAATACCAGCCAGGCAAATCAGAAACGAACGAGGGAGAAATGTTGACAACAACATATGGACTTGGCAACAATTCTCTAATGAGAGATCTCAATGCAAACAAAACACAAGCATGCCTTTTTTCTAGAAAAGACGATCTCACTGTGCCCAACATAAGCTTGTCAGGAGTAACCATACCTTTGAAGACATCCATTTCGATGCTTGGTATCACTATTAGCAATAACCTTTCTTGAAAAAATCACGTGAGATCAATTGCTAAAACTTGGTTTTATGTTTTGGGCCAGGAGCTAAATTTCACTTCCAGTCAGCTGCTTATGATCTATAAGGCACAGATCCGACTTGTCCTGGAATATTGTTCCCATATTTGGAGTGTAGCACCCAAACATACACTGAAACTGTTGGATTCTGTCCAAAAAAGAGCAATTCGTCTTGTGGGTGAAGCCTCGCTCACAAACTCACTGTCACTTCTCCGGAACACCGTAGAAGAGTTGGCAATCTGGCTCTATTTTATAGATATTTTCATGGACGATTGCTCTTCTGAAATATGAACAATTGTTCCTCCCTTGGCAGTCCCCGCGACATTAACCCGACGAGTTGGGGCTTCGCACCCCTTCGTGGTCACTTTGGAGACCTGCAGAACATCTCTTTCCGAAGACTTGTTCATCCAACGAACAGCGAGGCTCTGGAGCACATTGTCAAGTGAGGTGTTACCCGAGGCATCTAACCTCCAGAAATTTAAGAAGAACACCAATTCCTACCTTTTTTCCTTTGGTTCTCACGATGTTCTCTGAACATTACAGAATATCCCTTTTCGTGGGAACCAGAACATAAAAAAAACTGGGAATAAGATGAAATCTACCTTGTAGTAATCGCACGTGTACACGTCCCGACTCATCCCGAAGTCGGCGATCTTCACGACGGGACCCTCGGCCACCAGGCAGTTACGGCACGCCAGGTCGCGGTGCACGAACCGCTGCGACGCCAGGTACCGCATTCCTGCTGCGATCTGCAGCGCGACAGAGAGGAGGTCGCGTCGGGCCAGCCTTGGGAGGTCGCGGTCGGGCGATGCTTGGGAGGTCTGCTGGCAGCGCAACAGCTCGGCGAGGTCGCCGTGCGGCATGAATTCGAACACCATCATGGGGTTCACGCTGTCGTCTGGAAATAGGCGGAAAAATCACAAACTATTGATTTTTAATGAAATGAAGAGGTCCGGGGGTGCGTTAGAATACGTACTTCGAACCAAGTTATCTTTTTGCAACTCCATGAAACAGGTTTACTCCACTACATGCAGGTTATGATTGTTTTCATATCCTCAAAGAAATCAAACTTGATGAGTACTCCTTTCAACATTATTAAAGACACAGATGTGACTGATATGTTTAGCATCATATTTTGTTTTCCCAGACGCGTCGTAGATTCGTATCGTTGCCGACAACAACAAAGCAGCGTATATATTATCGGGGCACATACCATTCTGATTTGTTTTTATACTCTAGTTCTTATCATCATACATTTGTCAGGATTAACAGCTTGTGTCTGATAAAAAACTCTGAAAAAGAAGTGATTTCTTCCTGAAGCAGCTCATAGTCACGGTCACACTTGATCTCTTTGTATATCTTCAAGTCATCTGCAAAAATACAATATTCACTGAAACGAAAACATCTTCCTATGTCATTCAAGAAGATGCTGAATAATAAGGGATCTAAATGTGACTCTCGAGCTCTAGCTGGAGGGACTTTTCGTCATCTCCATCTTCGTCGTCGTCATCCCCATCAACAGGCACGCCGTTGAATCATATCTCCAGACAGGGAAGACACGCCGCAGAACAGTTCGGCATTGATTTCTGGCAACCCAATTTGCCACTATCACAATCCTTGGTGCAGTGGCAAAATATATTTTTGCTCGCCTGAAAACGCTTCCGCTCAATACGCAGGAACCTTAAAGTTGTCGTTCATGACTTCGACGTGGTATAGAAATCAACCTAGCATTCATTTTGTTCATATAGGCGTCGGCTTATCTAAGTGGTTTGTTTATGTCATCGGGGGTCGGCTTAATAAGAATAAAATCAAAATTGAGTGGTGATATTAATTTTTTGGTTTTATTTTCGCCAATCTTAGGAAATATGGAGTGTTTTCTTCTTTGGTGTGAGAATTTCACGATTAATAATACTAAAGATGTTTCTTTCCATCGGTGAGTTTGTGGGTAATGAATAATTTATTATTTAAATTAGCTTACATCAGTTGAGCAAGTACCTATTTACATCAAATGGAATCATGTATGTTTTGTATATTCATTCAGCTGTGAAGAATTTGAGTTCATGCGTGAGGTGCCATACCCCATACCCATATTTTGGATTGAAAGTTTACTCATTCAGTAACGATTCTAGGAATCCTAAGAATAAGAGAAATGGATGGTTTGAGGCTATTAGGAGACCATCGGACCTCAGCCATTCAGGAAGGATAATTATGTTCAGACCATTTTACGCCAGTAGACAGCTTTCTGATGCTTCCAGGCGAATCCAGGACATTGACGCCACATGTAGATTTGCCGTTCTTCAAATAAAGTTCTCAAATCTGAGTATTTGGAAGCTATGAGACATGGATACGGCATATTTCATTCGTTTCTCACTACTTTATGTATGGTTTATCAACCCTCTATAGTGGACCCCTCTCAACCTATTTTCTTCGATACGTCTATGTTCCTCGAATCCATGATTGCAACATGGCAGATCCTGGTGGTAGGACCTCTCCTTTGAGTTACCAACCTCACTCTTGCGGTGGCAGCTCATTCCCGAGTCACTCCCGAACTGCTGGAAATGCTGTGTAGCTGCGCTTTCAGTTAGTAGGTGGATGTCAGGCTCATCGTTTGCCACTGCTCTGACTTCTTGAGGAAGGTCTGTCTTGCTGGTGTCCCACATCATTTTTGGAAGCAAATATTCCCAGCCTCTTCAACCTCGCTGTGAGTAAAAGATCTTGGCATGCAGCTTCCTTGATAATTTCAGATCTCAAGTACAATTTTGGAAATTCCACTTTGCTCCTCCTGAACGTTGCAAATGCTGTGTTGCAGCCGGTTGGTAAATGAAGAAACCCATGTTGCTGCATCTTTAGATCAGACAATGTCATTGGATTTGGTTTACTCTCGTCGGGGTTCCGGCAGGATATCTCGGGAGGTAGAAGTACGAGCAATCAGAATAACAGTGAGGTAAACTTGACATTTCAATGAGAATTTTGTTGCATGGAAATGAAACGTAAAACATTGCATTCGAAAAAATTACGAGTCCGCGTAGTCTAGTCTCCATGTTTTGAATTAAATTGGTCTTGCTGCCTACTAGGAACAGTCTACTGCTTCACTAAATCGTCGATTTTAGGAACCCAAAGTAATCTTATCTCAGTCTCCTTATTACTTTTACAATCTTTATAACTTGCCACTGCATGAACTGCGCAGTTAAATATTTTCAATTATTTTCTATTTAAAATTACGATCAACAAGAATAATTAACGAAATGTATATGAAATCAACAATAAAATGTTCCCTCCAAAATTATACGACCAGACTGACGTCATGCGCGAAGGTCAATTTTGGGACGAGAAACAAACTGAGTATTGTGCTCATTCGCCAAAACTTACTATACCTAATATTCAATAATGGCGAATGCGCAATGGCCTGGCAGTTAACGACAGAACAAAACAGCGATCATCAGCGATTGAAGAAACGAAGTTAAATTAAATTGTTATCAAAGAAAGTCTCCTTAGCCTTGCCGATATTTCCTCCTTCAATGGATTTGTATTCTATTGTTCGCATGAGGGGCGAATTCACTGCGGCTTAAAGATCTATTGTCTCTTTCTCTTGATATCCACGATGAAGTTTTTTCAAAGCTATAGCAATTACTACAGTCCTATCAGAAACTTCAGTATCTATATGAGATGGTTATAGTATAGATCAGGTAGCCTCCTCCTCTATTATGTGTGCTCCTAGGTTTCCTCCCCCTCCTCTATAAAGAACTTGCAGTTATCTTCTTCTAAGCCAAAACCTTTCAGCATATTCTTTCAGTCAGCAATCCGGACTACAGTAAAAGATTTTTGCTAAGGCTGATACAGCATCCGGCGATCTCTTGTGGTTAGTATATCGTAGCCTTTCTGAGGCCTTGGAATTTTTTCCAGTTTCACGATTTCTGTTCAAAATCTTATTTCCTAATTTCTTCTGATATAGTACTGCTCTAATTCCACAGAAAGATTCTGGCCCTACGAAAGATATTTGGGCTTCTTTGCTATAGCGATTTTGTCCGTTACTTCATTCCTCTCTACTCTGCAAGGAATGCCCCGGATCGAACTGAGCGGTGTCTGTATTCCTGTTAGCTCGTTTGTTTTTTTTTTCGGAATTCCCAAATGGCTGGTTGACTATCGATAGTGATAAATCATAGTTCATAGTTTTCTTCGAATTGAACCTTGAATTTCCGCTTGGAAGATTCGAATTCGATTTTGAATAGTGCGATTTCTTTAAAAATATTGTTTATATGCAAGATCAATCCATTTAATTACACACAAAAATGTTTTCGCAGGAAATGATAATAGAGTGTTTGTAGTTTTTTTCAAAACTATACATGATCAAAGCTTGAGTTAGAGGGTGTCATTCACTAATTATAAAATTTCCTATATATGAACAGTGACAGTGAGTTAACCAAAAATATGGAAGGTGCATGAACATTATATTCCATGGGCTAACATTTTATTGCACTCACGTGTTCAAATATTGAATCAATATTAACAGGGTTTATTACTTTATGAAAACCTTTTGATTATATATATCCTAGAGAGTAATGGCAATGGCCCCTTTTAAAACAAACGCCAGCTGTCATTTTCTGAAAGAAATGTATTTTTTTTATTCATGTATTCAAAGTGTAACTTTAATGTTTTGCTTTTCATCCTCATGACGTTGCAGTACCTTTGGCTGATGATCGGCTCATTATAAGTCCGAAATTGTCCTCCTTTCGTGATATAACCACATCATTGTTAACCCATTAAATGGAGATAACTTCATAGAAAATAGGTTTGATGAAGGATGAAGAGAGGATGCTATATAATAATTATGGGATAGAAAAGGTATACAAAATACAGAGAGATCAATAGAAAGTTTTAGTTCAATTACTGAGTTCAACTTGAATGGTACATCAAAACACTATTCAAGAGTGAAATTCTGGCTTTGTTTTGAATGAAGTTGATAAATTTGAAATTTCGCAGAATATTCTTTTTTTTCCTTCAGTATCCTTCGAACTCTTGATCTTTCAAATAAAACTAGTGATGCCATTTATATGGGGACTGTGAATTGATGAATCTGGAATGAACACATTTTTTCGATAGAACCAATACTTTTCGAGATATCTGCAAAAAAACTCATGAAAAGTATCTTCGAACGCTCACCCCACTATCTGCGTCTGGAACTTCAGAATTGCAGGTTCTCATGTCAATGTTCCCTATTCCTATAGAAAAAATCGGAACCACACAACAAAAGTTGTTCGATTTTCAAATGTCTGACGACCGAGACTATTTTCTCCAACTACCTCACCTTACTATACCGTGCATTCATTGGAAATCACTACACAGGCAAAGTATTCGGTCGTGTTTGGGGCTAGCAGCTAGCAGCAACGTAGCACTCGCACTCGCACCATGCACGAATTATGTCCTATGTCTAAGCACTAATCCACTCTGCAGTTTTCAATCTTTTTTATAGGCCTCTCTTGGTCAATTTTCCTTCTCCCCTAAAGCCCAACCTCACCATAGTGCGGGGAGGACAAGCCGCGGCTGCTCTTATCACTGGGACAGTTTTGTGGACATCTGAGTACAAGGATGGGGCAATTTGTGAACATCTGCTTATGTGGCCGCGGATTGATAATATATGGTGTCAATCTGTCAATAACGGGCACTCTAAGACACAGGGCGATATCTCAGAGTAAACAGCCTTAGCCCTGTGCTGAGGGCATCACAGGGCTTATAGACCAATTCCTTTTCCCATTGCTCGTAGAAGAAGGAAAACTTTTGGCCTTCTTCAAAGACGAGACCAGGACTCGGAAAAATAGTCTTCAGGAACCTGAATGGAAAGGGTCTTTCAAACGAACCTCTGGTACTGTGAGCAGCAGTGCTCACAGTTACTGTGGCGTCATTTGAAGTGGCCCTCAATAACGGCATATTCTAGGTTTAATGCTTCAATGGGACAACAGACCTAAGTGACATCGGATACTTCGGTCAGACGAGCCTTGAAAGGAGGTGAAACGTTTAGTGGGTACACCTACATGTAGGGAGTCCCATACTACCATGAAGGGAATGGTCTCTCGTGGTGTCCATAGAGAATTTTGACCAACTCCGAAAAAAAAAAACAGTATGTAGGACCGGCGTAGTTGTACAGAGGTATTATATTCACATACCTTTGAGGACAACTCCTAACAATGATAGGATATTTGGATGCCTGAATGCACTCATTATCTCGACTTCTCTCAAGAAATCTTCTTCAGCTTCTTTGTTGGCAGTATCCTTCAGTACTTTGATTGCTACCACACGGACCTGATCTCCGTCTTCACAGAGCAGTTCACCTGGAATCAAGAGTATAGTATAGATTCATAACGTGAATAACCGGGTATAGGTAGGTAGTACTTTTATTTATTTATTTATTTATTTAGGTTCACGCCACCCTTACAGCCAGGGTGGGGAAAATACAGTGAGCACAAATTACGATACAATGATTAAAATAATACAAAAAAGATAACAAGAAAAATTGGTGAGACTTACATGCAACAACTATGCATGTGAACTGAAAAGTTAAGAAAAAAAAATTCACATGCAGAGTTGCATGAATAGATGAAAACAGAAGTGAGTTATGACAAAATCTCTTTCTTGATTTCGCCTAATGATGTGTAGAAAATATCTATCTCATTCTGGTATCTCATATAGTTAACACAAATTTGATGTACAGGAGAAAACATGCGTGAATTTGTATCAGGTGCTCGCAAATAAAACATGTTATACGATCGTGCAGACCCTCTAGGTACATAGTAAAGAGAGTAGGTGGGGAGAATCTAGTTTGCTATTGAGGAGTTTGAAGAGAAAAATTATGCTGTGACATTTACGACGTGTCTGCAACGAGTTAGTACCGAAACATTCCAGTAATGATTCCTGGAGAATACCTCGTGCAGGATACTCACCATCTACTCTAAAACATATTGCTTTGAGAAAACGTCTCTGTACATTCTCGTTATTATTCAAGTGGACATTATAGCCGGAAGACCAAATAATGGTGGCGTGGTGTAAACATGCGATAACCAAGTTATTTGTTCTGAATTCGGCGAGGAATTTGGTCAGATCAGTTTCGTAAGAATACCAAATATTCACATGGTATGTATAAACACGGTCATTCATTCTTCGTTGCAATGCAATTTCAATTTTCGTTTTTCATTATCAAATACATTTAGAATATCATCGGCTATAATTTATTTTTTAATTATATCGTCTTCGATGTCAAGAGATTCGGAAACCGCTCCTGGCACATCGTCGTGATATTTATTTTGGGCTTTCTGGGGTGAGCCCCGAATGGGTTTCCTGCATCACCATTTAATAACAGGGTTCAATAGGATAGGAGGGATCAGTGCCGGATTTAGGGGGAGAGGCTATGGGACTATCAGCCCCCGGCGGTGAATTTCAAGAGGCGGAAGAGAAAAAAAGAAAAAGCAAGCAGCAATACTGTCGTCGCCGACGAGGCGACAAATATATTATATTGCTTCTTGCTTTTCATATGCCGCCTCTTCAGTCGCCTTTTGAAGCAAACGCGCAATTAGCTACCTCTGGCACCGCATCAGAAGGACTTGGTTTGGTTGAGAGGGTTTTTGTGAAAATCTTAACATGCACTAAGAGGTTTTATTCCTAAACAGGCGAAACCTTAAAATGGGAGAGGGGCTCCTAACGGGGCACAACCACTTCAATAGGCACCTAGAGCTTATTGGGATCAAGGATGACCCCCTTTGCAGATGGTGTCTGGAAGATGACGAAACATCATCACATGCCCTTACTGAGTGTCCAGCACTGACGCATCAGAGGAGGGCTGTCTTTGGCAACATAATTTTGAGGCCAGAGGACGTAAATGAAATTCAGCTGAGGAAGCTGCTGAACTTCTCCAAGGCAGACGGCATACCCAGCTGAATGTCGTAACATGTGGGCGCACAATGGGCCCGAATAAGGAGGCCCACGTGCAGGGGGTTCACCCGCCCACCAGTGCTTCGAAGAAGAAGAAGAAGAAGGAGAAGAAGGAGGTCAGAACACGTAAGAGGAAACTGGCTCTTGAAGGAGCTGACACTGAAGCTTTATTGACACCACAGACCAGAATGCGAACCCAGGTATTCCTCAAAGCAGTCGACCATTTGGTGGGTGAAGTAAATATTCGTGCTGAAGCCTACAAAGATCTCTCATCGTAGATAAAGCACGTGTTTTGATTGATGTATACCCAGATGATGTAGATGAGTCACTCGGCAATGAATGTGTTCAATTGAAATATTTCCTGAATTTTATTGCCGAACACAAAAGTGATGAAATATTCAATGCAAGATCGTTGATGGCGCTTTTGCACAAATACAAGATCAATGATACTTTTTGCAACGTGGGAGTAGCTCTAAGAATTTTCCTATCCCTGATGATTAGTAATGCCAGTGGTGAAGAGTCATTCCCAACTTTAAAAAGAGTGAAAAATAACCTTAAAAATTCCATGGTAGAGGATTCATTGAATAGCTTATCAATTTCAAGTATTAACAGTGACATGTTATTAAATCTGAATTTTGATGATACCATTGACGACTTTGCATCAAAAAAATCAAGAAAAGTATTTTAGTATTCATCTGAAAAAAAAAAATTGTTGTTTGTTGTTATGTTTAATGTGTGAAGTGAATATGATTTGATTCGTTGTACATAATGATTTCATGCTATTGTTATATACTCTTAAAAAAGCAGTGAAAGGATTATTTGAATTTTGAAACTGGACAATTGAAATTTAATATTTGGCGGCGGCGCGGCGGCATCGTAAAAGTTAGCCCCCGGCGTAGAGGAGTATAAATCCGGCACTGGGAGGGATTATTCCCTAGTTCTGGACCGAAGCAAACTAAGGAGTTACTTATAGGTAGTATTATTTTATAGTTGTACGATATTACATACGTTCAGTAACACCTAAATACAGTACCACCTTGACTCAGAGTACAATATTGTTATTATTCGAAGTGAATTAACGACATATGGAATAAAACAATGTTGGGGAGATAAGAAGTGTATGAAAATATAGTGTAAGTTGTGAGTCTCGATATGAAAGTGTGTAACAACGCGCGTTTCGCTAATAATTCGCAGCATATCGCTATCAGTTATAGTCCGGGAAATATTGATCATTTCAGAAATATCTAGATCTTACTTTTTTGCAGAAATGAATTGGACCCTTGAATGGTCTGATTTTTTGGCAGAAGTTCAAGTTACCACAAATTTGAGTTTGTATTATGTATAACCTATTACGAATAAATAAAAATCTTTATCGCATCCACAACTATATATAGCTTGTGGATGTAATAATAAGTATATTACTATGACTAAATGCTCAATATATGTGGCTATTTCAGTTTCTTCTGCTCCTGGTCATTTTGATAATCAGTTGATCGAAGAAAACAGCAGAGATATGGTCGCCTAGATCACTGGGTGTAATACCCTCTGTGACCTTTATTTTTGCACCACACAAAGTATGCTGTAGATACGACCTCAATAAATTTCATAAACCGTATATCTATATTATTGTTGTATATATGATGATTTAAATTATTGGTTACTTCTGAAACTTCTTGTAGGTGTAAATTCAAGAGCCGTAATAAAGCAAATAGTAGTAATTGTATAGGATATAAAAAATCAATTATTACAGATTTTTTGGGATTTTCTTTCCACGGTTCTGCAAAATAAAAATATAAGTATTATTCCTCTTCTCCAAACGTTTTTCAAAAGAAAGTGTCACTGACAAGTGAATTCATTTTTCTTTACGGCTCTCTGATAGAAACCTCTTTAAACGCAGTGACATTTTGGGGCATACCATATGGTTCGACCTTACTACACGTATATGGAAATAATAGGTAAGTACTCATATTCTATAGAAACGAGGAGAGAAAATCCCAAGAAATCTTTAATAATGCATATAACACCTCCTCGATTAACCTATAGTCAGTATTTATTTTATAAAAAATTCACAGTTCAATAATTCCGACCCAATATCATTTGCCTGAGAATCATTCTTTCAATTTTCATACCATATTTTCATTGAAACAATTATAGTTTGATTCTTCAATGTTACATTCTTGATTGATATTTCCGTTCATTCTCTTCCAATAATTTCCCGTTATTTTTTAAACTTTATATGCTCTCACTCTCCAGTTATATCTTATACTGATTTTTCCATGACTTGACACGATATGAAATTGAGGGCATCGTTGTTTTATTTTCGGTTTATCACAACCTCACATAACAGGTATGATATTGAGATTTTTGGTTAACCTATTAAACACTTTTATTTTGTGATATCATTTGAAGATATGGTTGATTTTTCAGATACGTAGTGGCAATAATGTTTCTTTATGCCGCGTAGAGATATTATAGTATTTAATGAATACCTAATAAATATAATAAATTACATAACAAATCAGAGGTCCTATGATATGAATACAAAATAATCTTATCATAATTGGAATGAAAAAACATTATGACAAAATATTGAAATATGGTTAAAAAGTTGTGCAAAGCTGCAAAAAGCACGGGTTAACCTGGTCAGGTTATTATTATTCAATTTTACTGAATGATCTTAAGAATGGAAATAGCAGTTAATCCATAGTTGATCTGTCCTAGAAAATCACTATTTCTGCTGGCCCTGATCACACCGATTAACCTGATTCACCTTAGTAAGACAACAAACAAAATGGCTGAAATTTAAAAGAATCAGATCAAAATAACTCTATATTATACCGGGTGTAACAGGATCGTGGTACACCAAACCATTTTGATGAACTCAATTTGGTGATAAATCAAGATATTTTGTCGATATGAGTACATCAGACTTGATCAGAATAGTCATGGCACACTCAGCTGGATAATCAAGACTGAAGTTTGAAATCTCACTTATGTGGTATCATTGTATTCAGAGAATATGATGTAAAATTCGAACAGGCAATAATATACAGGGTATTCTATTTGAAAACCTGAATAAGTTATAACCACTTCCGGTGAAACGTTAAGTAGAAAATGAAACATTTTCATGTCGAAACATGAAGTTCAGCAAGTTGATGGGTCACACCAAATTTCAATCTCTGAAACTAAAAGAGAAAAATGAGGGTGTACCATGATCTTGTTACACCCGGTACCCGGTATATTATGGCTTGGAGGACCTGTCTGAAAATGTTTCACAAGACTGTTCCCTCTCTCTCGGACTATTTACAACAGATTATTCTAAAATAAGTGCGTGTCATCATTCACGAGTATGAATTTGAGTATACAGAGATGCGCGCATGTACAAATAAATAGTAAAGGAAACATGAAACATGAAAGAACATAGAGTACGGTCACATTTTCACAGTCGAGCAGCTGCTCTGAGGGTGTTTGAACCCGCAAAAGAATACTGACCAGCATGCGGTAAACATCCATATTTCACCTCGTCCGCAAGATTCAGTCGTAGGTATTCTGTCAGTGTGAAATTGAAACAAACTGTGAATAGTTTAGTGCAGCGGCTGGAGCGTTATGAGAAGTTGAATGAATAAGGTAAGCCCACTAAGATAGGTTAATAGGTCTTCCCTGTATGGTAATTATTTCTTTTCTGGCCATAATGCCAAAGGGGAGTCAAAATCGGCAATAAAATTGGGATACTTGTGAATTGAACCGCTCCTGAGCAGTGAGGCTTATGATGATGATAGTGGGAAGCACGCCGTTGCTCCCAGGTTTCTATAAAATCTACTACAATACCTACGCATTATACACGTCTGGCATTCGAAACCATCTCATCGAGAAACCATCTACTAAAATCAATAATTGTGAATCTAAAATACTATATATAAACAAAGGAGTTCCCCAAGGATCAGTGTTGGGCCCAATTCTGTTTCTTTCATACATTCGAAACATTTCAGAAATAAATTTAATAGGAAACTATGCCATATATGCAGATGACACAGTACTCTTATTTGAAAACAAACCCTGTAATTTCAGAAAACAACATAAATGAGGATTTGAAGGAAGTGGAGAAATGGCTGTACTCCAATCTTCATTTCCTTAATTCTAATACGACGCAATATATAACTTTCCATCAAAGAAATAAACAAAATATTGATTTGAATATTAGAATGAAAAATGAAAGATTGAAACAAACTGCCTATACCAAATACCTTGGTATTTGGATTGATGAAAATTTTTCCCATAGTTGGTGTCCTAAGAATATGTCCAAAACTTTTTCCAAATATAGCAAATACCGTTTCATACTCTCACATCCTTAATGGTAAAATGAACTATCTCATAAATATTTGGGGTTCATGTAACAAGAATAATTTTAACAAAATATCTATAAGAAAGCATTGAAAGTATATACTGTATCTTCTTCCATATGACACCCCATCAAATCAACTTTATGAAGAAACAAATACATTTTCTCTTAATTAAATATATTTATATTTTCATGAGATGCAATATACATAATGTTTATAACAAAGAATGAAATTCAATAAAGCATGAATAATCTCATACCAGATGTGAATCTCTTTGATTATTCATGTTATTTCATTGTAAATCTGAATGAAATATATTTATATGAGATGCAATGTGATGTTTATAGCAAAGAATGAAAAGAAATGTTATTATTATTATTATTGACGTGAATACGCATAGAGGGTCACGAGTATCTGATATAAAGAAGAACAAAGCAACACTACGAAACCTTGCCTTCACGGTAAGTGTGGATGGTGACAGATGCGCTGTTGCCTTCCACATACGTATCGCGTAGATACGCATGTTTGACACACGAGCTACACACAATAAAGTAGGTTTAATGGCAACGTCGCTCATTATGTTTCTTTATCTTTATTAGATACCTATATATGAATCTTCATGTTTATTCACTTCAATAGATGGTCTTTCTATGTGAAATGTATCACAGTTGCATCTCTTCATATTGTATCTTGTAGCTATACTTCCCCGATATAATGATTTAATGAACCTGCATTGTTATCTTCGATAGTAGAAGCTGCTGGTGAAATATTGCCATTGATTTTGGGAGACCCTGCTCATAAAAATATTTCTGGCATGTGTTTTCTTTATTGAAGTATATAGAACAAGAACATTCATTGAAACAATTGACACATTTCAGAGATCCAATCGCTCCACTAGACAATAATAATTGAAGAGTACAGCTTTCCGTTATAAAAGAACCATCAAATTACGTACACCAGGACCGTACTGACCAGTGGCCATGTTGAGCAGGCAAGTGATCAGATTTTTGTTACTAAACAAATGCTGCACTCGGAGGGCCAGTGGTACCGCGTTGGATTTTCAAGACGTACCCCAGCCCAAAGGATTGCCCCTTGTAGGTACCACTTTCTCTTTGATAGCAGCTGGAGGACCGGCCAAGCTTCACAAGTACATAAATGGTAGACACGAGAAGCTTGGACCGATTTTCAAAGACAATGTCGGACCCGTCACGGCTGTGTTCTTGTCAGATCCGGACGAGATGAGGGCTGTTTTCGCGAAAGAAGGTAAGTTATACAGTGTGTTCATTTCCATTTTATCATGAATGAAGGGTATTGAAAGAATCCGAATCCTTTATTCTCCAAATCTGTCACTATAGTTATAGACCAGAAGCTGGTGACAGAGGTGACTCCCTCCCATTTTACACTGCATGCCTTTTTGAGGATTTATAATTAACCCCGAAATATGGAAAATACACGGGTTCCTGGCCCCCCACGTGTGCACTTCACAAGGAAAAACACATTTTCCGGCAACCGTCCGAGACGAGGTGCTCACTTCCGGACAGCCTAGTCACATCGTTGTTGTCACTATAACTATGAAAATCTTGGTAGATATGGTTTTGATAAATGCAGATGATGATTACCATAGCAGCGAAATATCGGCTGACAGCTATTTGACATGGAATGAGTTGACATTTGAATTTTTGAAAGTTTAGTTGCAATTATCGCAATAAACTATCGGAAGCAGCAGCGATAGTGAGTTTTCAGAATGTCCATACGAAATTTTCAATGTAGCAGTTAGTAGGTATAGGTATTCTGTTCAAATTTCAGTATTTGATACAAATAAGAATTAATAAAGAAGAAATTGTATTCCTCAAAGAAATATAATATGGAGATGTTTCTCATTGAATTGTTATTCTACATATGTTTGCCGTTGTTGTTTGTTTTTGGACTCGCGGACTTCCAGCAGGTTTCGCCTACGGCTCGGCATAGAATTTTGTCTACTCGTTTAAAAACACAGAAAAACAGTAATTTCCGGACTTGTTACGTGAAATACTATTTTTTGTGATGAAAGTTCGTGTTTTTTTGGAATATTATATTGCCTGCCGTTGTAATATACGGAAGCTAAAACGAAGCGCTACTAATTGATGGCATACAATCCGCAGCGCCGAAAGGGCTCAAAAGGGTTACGAAAAACTGAAGAAAATTGAAGGGGACTTCCAAGTTTTTGAATTGCATGCCGATGTTGAGAATTGGAGTTTTAGAAAAATAAACACTCTGGAAAAATTGGCATGCGTCCCTCATCTGACCAAGGGTGGTTGCAAAAAACACAACTTTCGTCATGCATGCCTCTATTTTGCAAAACCCTGTGTGCATGCCATCAAATAACCTACTATTAATCAATTATACAGATGAAGTATTTTTCTAAATACTGTCTGTAGGTTAATCGAGGAGGGGGTACATTCATTATTCCAAATTTTTTGGGATTTTCTCTCCTCGTTTCTATAAAATAAAAATATGAATATTATTTCAATATACGTGTAGTAAGGACAAATCAGATGATTTGCCCCAAAATGTCACTGCGTTTAAAGAATTTTCCTATCAGAGATTCTTTAAACGCAGTGACATTTTGGGGCAAATCATCTGATTTGTCCTTACTACACGTATATTGAAATAATATTCATATTTTTATTTTATAGAAACGAGGAGAGAAAATCCCAAAAAATTTGGAATAATGAAGTATTTTTCTAATTGTATGCACTTTGGAATCACAGAAAACCTGTATCGAATTTTCACAGAGTATTCCCGAAATTTTCCAACGTTGGTCAGACGAGTGCGTATTTCAATTTTTCCAGAGTTTTTTTTTACTGAAATTTCAATCCTTCACATCGACATGCAATTTGGAAATATGGAAGTCCCCTCGAGAGTCCCCTTTAATTTTCTTCAGTCATTCGAAACCCTTTTGAACCCTTTCGGCCGCTGCGGATTGCATGCTATCAGTAATTATTAGCGCTGCAATTCGTTTGAACTTTTGTATATCACAACGGCAGGCAGTATAATGTCGTGGAAAAACATGGGAATACTTCTCAAAAACCCGTCTATTTTCCATATTTTGGGGTTAAATATGAAGACTTAAAAAAGCATGCAGTGTAACATGGGAGAACGCAATCTGACACCAGCTCCTGGTCTATTAGCGATGGATCACAAATGAACATTTTTAACCAAATGGCCGAACTATCCATTTCTTCTGAGGCATTTTCTAAGTCGGGTCGACTTTTATTTTTAATTTGCCATTTGCCGAGACAATTTTTTCATATAGAACACCCTATGTATTAGTCAATAATAGGGTTTGTATACAGTATGCTTCCGTTAAATAACGGATTACAAAATCCGAAATTACGGGACCACTGTATATCGATTCAATGATTATCATGGAAAGATATTGAACCATGTCAGCCAAACCCTATATTTATATACAGTGTGACCCACTTCTGATGAAAACAACTCTGTATCTTACGTAATCGTTGGGTAAGGATCCTGCAATTTGATGGGAGTGAGAGATATACCAAAAATGCACTCTATGACCAAGTGGGGTCATCTTCAGTGATATACACTGCTCGCCAATAGCCATGGAACCATCCCAATTTCCAGAAAATGATATTAGGAGTCAAAATAGGTTGAAAATCACTTCGGATTCGAAATCAGGACTCCCAATCCATCAACTATTCATAGTTTTCCTAGAAAATCGGGGTGGTTCTATGGCTGTTGGCGAGCAGCGTATACCACTGAAGATGACCCTACTTGGTCATAGAGTGCATTTTTGGTATATCTCTTGCTTCAGCAAATTTCAGGATCCTTACCCAACGATTACGTAAGATACAGGGGTGGTTCCATTAGAAGTGGGTCACACTGTATAATTTTGAAATTTGCTGATGAACATGTAAGATTCGGAATGTTTTAGGAAAATATCCCATCCATATCAAACCGGAATCATGGCTGATTTACAACGAGAAATTCGGTTGCTCAAGGGGTTTATTCTTCATGGACGGAGAGGAATGGCTGCATTTCAGAAGGATAATGAATAAATTATTACTCAAGGGCAATTTGTCCTGGATAGAAGATTCTTGTGATGTTGCTAGTCAGTTATTTATAGATACGATCAAAGCAAATACCAAACAGGAGTTACCCAATGTAGAAGATTCACTATATAAATGGTCTTTAGATGTAATAGTATCAATTCTTGTAGGAAAGCGAACATATCAACAGTATCACAAAGAAATGGAACCTTTGGTTCAAGATTTGGCTGCCACAATACACTTGGTATTTCGAACAACGAGTAAAATGCAGCTCTTGCCAGCCAGGTTAGCCGAAAAATATCAACTATCCCGTTGGAAACATTTCGAAAAATCCGTTAATGACGCTCTTGGTTCTGCTTATAAAATGTTGGATTACTTGCAGTCGAATTTCGGCGAGACAGATGGTCTTCTGGCAAAAATGATCCATGAAGAAGTGCCGAAGAAGGAACTCGATAGAATCGTTGTCGATCTTATTCTTGGTGCTGGAGATACGACAGCATACAGTATGGCGTGGATTTTATTTGCCATATCGAAATACCCAGAAGTTCAACATGAGATTCGACGTCAACTCAGAAGTGATCAGAACACGCCTCTTCTAAAAAATGTAGTAAGAGAAACATTGAGGCTTTATCCCGTAGCTCCGTTTTTGACTCGTATAATACCTGAAGACGTTGTACTTTGTGGATATACTATACCAGCGAATACCTTGATTGTAATGTCAATTTATACTAGTGGAAGAAGTGAGAAATATTTCAAGAATCCTAACAAATTCATTCCTGACAGGTGGTTGAGAAATAGTTCGGCTAATTCGAATGTTATCCAACAGGCTAGTTTGCCGTTCGGGATGGGGAGCAGGTCTTGTATTGGTAAAAAGATTGCTGAAACTCAGTTTCAGATGACCCTCAGGAAGGTCGTGGAAAACTTTTTTGTGGAGATTAAGAATGCAGATCAGATTGAAAACGTTATGCAAATGGTTTCCAAGCCTTCGAAACCTTTGAAACTGATATTCAATAAAATATAAGACATGAACAGGTTTTTTTTAATCATCTGGTTGTTGTTGACATAACAATTTATTACCCTTGGAAAGTGAGTGATGCATTGAAGCAGGAAATATCATTTTTTCACGTTCGAAGAAGATAGATCATGTGGGCGTCTCTAAAATCCGCTATGTGCATTTTTTTAATAGTTAGATCTGTAAGGACCTCATTTCACCTATCTGTGTGATTTGGGTCAATAACTATGTGACGAAACCTAACCTGAATATATTATTTATACAGGGTGTTCCAGAATAACGTTCATATACTCCGGGAGGTGATTTTAAGAAATCGAAAATGCCCCTGTTATCTGTTACACACCGAGAGAAATATCTATTAGCTGTTATACGAAATTGTATAACCATTAAAAGATTTCTGAATTGAATATCACTTATATGAGAATGAAATGACACTCATATAGGGGTCAAATGACTAGCATTTCAATGCTATACGATGATATTATAAAAATGAGAAGATACTCATATAAATTTGACTTGTTTTCAATTTGATAGTCAAATAAAAAGCATTTCAATATTGAATAGTGATATTATAAAAATGAAATGATACTCATATCAATATAATTTGCTTTCAATTTCATAGTCGAATGATTGCATGGTATTTCAGTATCAGGATGATCAATTTTTCTCCAGAAGAATGAAGTGGGTTGAAACTCTTCGAGAAATATTGAAGACATATATACTTGGTTTATATACTTACCCCCAAGTAAATTTTTTTTGAGGAACTACAGGGCATTGAAGTGCATCACAAGGACGATATACTTAGTTTACAATATCTCAGTTTGTGTAGGACAAAAATGCTTCCAATTTGGACTATTTGTTCTCGTTGTCAGTGCATTGGATTATTAGTTAACATAGTGGCCAAAAATGTAATTACACAGTATCTTCAGTAAATTATAGTTCACATTCGCAGATTTCGTTTTATTTTATTTACCGTTATTGCCACTTGAGCTTTACAAAAGAGCGTTGAGAGACTTTTCTTACGACGTTTTCGAGATCCTCATGATAGTATTCATTAATCTTGGACACAATCTATACGCAATACAATCTATCACCGATAAAACTGTTCAAATCCAAGCTTTTGCCACTTAGTGAATAGTGAGGTGAGTTAAAAAAAAAAAAAGTTTTTCCAATTTGGAAGACATTCCGATACATACACTTACCGATATATCGTGAAAACACTATAACGCCCAGAGGCAGTTCAACATTCTGTAGTTCCTCAACAAATCTTGGGGGATATATGAACAAATATGTCCCTAATATTTCTAGAAGATCTCTCAACCACTTCACTTTTTCGAAAAAAAAAATATCACTCTGCAAGAAGGGTTCACGAGCTGCCGCGAGCTAATATGTCCTCTCATATCAGGAATCCGAAGACAACTAACGATTCTCATCGAACAAGTGTTCATAGGTGAGTGAGATGACTCATTGAGGTAGACGAGTATGACAAAGATGGAAAATGATAGAAGGGATGAAATTAAATGATAATGGTATAACTGTGAAATGACATCTTTTAGGATTTAAATGATCATTTTCAAATTTCTTTCAAATCTTTTAACTATAATCTTGTCTCATTTCGAATCTAAAAGATAACCTTTTTGAAACAAAAAGAGTGATTTGAAAGGGTGACCTGTTTCACGTTGAAAACGTGAACTTTTCACGTTCATCAGATGAGATTTCATGGTTAAAATGTTTCATTTGGCGGTTATAAAAAGTGTTTAAATAGAGACATGTATAACTGGACTTTTCTCGGTGCAGCCGTAGAAAAGTTATAGCATTCTCGTAGGAAATCACCATCATTCCGTGCTCGTTGAACAATATACTATTGTAATCTCCATAATTTGATTCAGTTATGCATAGAGAAGAGAATTTTGATAGGTGTGAAGTTTGTGGTTTTATGAGCCAAGAGATTCATGTGTGCGACAACACATGAGACAATAAGTTCACTAATCACCAGGTAAATATAAATATTTGTAACCATACCAAATGAGTACTTGAATATAATGTAAACATTTTCGTCTATGAAATTCACGAAACCACAGAAAAACGATTGAATTCTGTGTTCCTAACCTAACATATGTTCGTAAACGTTGATCACTAGTATAGGTGATTCGAGTTTTTTGTCACGTGACCTCTCTGGATCGAGGTAACAACCCAGAGTAAGTTTCCGAACACACCTGATATGAATCGCACTCACCCTTGAAAACTTTGCCGAAACATCCTTCACCTACTTCCTTCAGGAATGACAAAGTTTCTTTCTTCAGAATCGGCACTCCAGCTGCGGAACATGCTGAATACTGAGGGTTCGGCGCGTATCTTTCAGCTACTAAAAAACTTTGTTTGAGATTTACTGGTGAAGCCTGCAAAAGAAAAATATCTACATTATTATCAAAATGCTGTGAATATAAGAGGAGTTTGAGTAAACTGTTGGACTTCATGAGTATTTCTAGAGAGATATTTGAATGAATTTAGTTTTTTCTGTGACGGAAAAAACGTTTGAAATTTCATCTCTGTTGACAGGTTGAAAAAAAATATTTCTCACAGTATGAGCAATACATGGTTTTGAAACTAAGTAGGTACAGATAGTATAATATTAGGTATCAAACACAAAATAAACCCAAATAGGGAAGTAAATATCAGAATTTTCTTAATTGTGAAAACTAGCGCCTTCGCCAATTGAAAATATCAAGGAACGCTATCAACAGAGTTTTTTGTATCTATATAGTATATATAACTTCCACGGACAATAGACTGATGATAGTTTCTGCATGGAATGAATGGTATAAAAATAATGAAATAAATTAGAGAAAAGCTGATTATTGAAAAATGACTCTTGCTTGATGAAAATCATTCAACATCATTCAACCAATAATTTGCATTACTACAACCTCATTCAGATATTATTTGAATCATTCATATTCATTTGAAGTTCTTTCAATTTCGCTTTTTTGTTATCAAAATACTTCTCATCTCCCTAGATTCTTTGGGATTTCCTCTCCTAGTTTTAAAAATGAAAAATATAAGAAACGAAAAATGTTCCTGCCTTCAGAAATTGTTACTTTGATGAAACTGGGAGATAAATCTGTTGCTAATAAGTGACACTTTATCCTTATTACACACACATTATGGTTATAGAAATTATATTCAGATTTTCATTCAAAGAAACAAGCAACAAAATTGATAATGTTTTTTTTTTCAATTATTCTACGCACCAATTTTGATATAAACTTTTTTATTATGTTTTTCTGGGTCTGGGATAGCTGCTCAAGAGAGATTTCGTTCGATGTAAGGAATGTCCTGTATTGTACGAACTTTGCATGCAGAGATTCTCATACTGCTCAAATTCCAAACGAATTATGCTGCCGAAATTTTACACATTATTAATTAGATTCAATCAGTTTCATTATCGATAATATTATGGCATTATACTCACCCTGGCTTCTCGTCGCCTCAGTCTTTTCTTGACGAATATAATTAAATAAATCAATGCGAACAAACTTATAATTAGGATCAAAATGGAAGGAACCATATAATTTTGTACTTTGGGGTAGTCTGGATGTTTTTCTTCCTGCAAAAAATAAATATAATTCAGTGAAATGGTAAAAAAGGTGCCAAGTTTTCAAACAGAATTTTTAAATTTCTGATACACCAATGAGTTTCTGCTACTTTGGAAAAATACTATATCAAATTGAAAGTGAAAATAAAGAATTTTTTTACAAGAAAACTAACTTCATACTTCAATTTCGTATGTATTTAAACCTCTTTTATGTGATAATTTCTATAAAATTAAAATTTCTATTATATGGAGGATTTCGAAAAAACAGGCCCCTCTGAACAGTACTTTTGCGAACGTAAATACTTATTCACTCGGACACGGATAGTTCATCAGGAAAAAGTATATATTCAGTTTCTTCCAAACCACAATTTTCTACCTACTGGAGGGAGATATTTACTGAACGTTCACAATTTGAAGTTAATTTGATTCCTTTTTTTCTTGTCGAAGCAGAAAATTAAAAAAAAGTAAGCTGATTCTTCTAGTATGGTGAATTTTTGCGAATAAAGGTTCTAAAACATGAGGAACAATACTATGGAATTGATTTTCATCTGAAAACAGTCCTAATATGGTTTCATAAATAATCGACCCATTTTTATTTCAATATGTATTGTATGCATATGTATGAATCAATTTTATTTCCGTATCAGATATCACAATGACTTGATTGTGTTATTATTTCACAAAATCTCATATGGAATGCCGAAATATCATGCATTCTATAAGTGAGCTGGGCAATATTTCAAAATTTTCAAAGGCCTCCCGTTAGAAGCGAAAATGTTTTGAATTTTTTTCTGCGGTGAAAACCATATTATCGCACAATCTGTTTCGGAATTTTTGGAATTATCACACTCATTATTACGTTAATGATTTTATGAATATTTTCATATGATTGTTCTTATCATTTTGGTTCAAACTGTGGTCAAAAATCTTGAAATGATGCATGAATATATCTTCTTATTGATATAAGGTGGTCCGGAGGTCCTCAAAAAACGATTATGTCACTGAATTAAAAAATGTATTGAATATGCGTGCTAATTTTAATATAGAACTTCAATCATTCATTAATTCATTAACATATTCAAATTTCGATTTTACGTTTCGAGTTCTGAGCACTTTAGTACCTATATCATAATCAAAAACAGTTTCTTGAGAAAATGGCGGTCCGCCCCTGATTTTAATTTATACTTAGCATGGGTACTTTTGGAATACATCTCATACTATCGAACTCTCCGAATCAACATTGAAGAAGGTGTAGTGGTAGTGTAGTGAAAATTATAATTTCGATAAAAATAACTCTCATATTTCATATAATCCGTTGATAATTGCATAAATGTACTATGGCAACCATAAGAATTCGTCGTCAAATACCTAGTCAACTTTGACAATTAATTGAGAATTTCTCCCAAATAACATTCTTTCCTCAGAATTACTGGATATTTACTTCGCATTCAACCAGTTGAAATAGCCTTTGTTATTCGACTCATGCAGATAGGATATATTATAGCACGCTTTTATGCAAAATATTGATGATATTGATGCACGATATACAGGGTGACAGTGAAATAAATACAAATACTTCAAACTCAAAGAAAACTCTACGTATACTATACACACAAAAACAAATTTTTTGGGATCAAAATAAAATTTGATGTGAGACCCTTTTTCCATCCAAATTTCTACACTGTGGAAATTCTGACGTCACCTCTGTACAAATTTTTGTGAGGAAGACACAATTAGGCGGAATTCAATCATTCAATTTGCCATGATTTACTTCCATTTTTAGTTCAATTTTCAAGATGCAATTTTACGATAATCAGAAAAATAAAAAATCTGATATTGTGTGAATATTTGTTAGACTGTATCGAAGTGATGTGCTGAATATGTGTTTACTCCTAATATGTAATTCCCCTTAAAGATTACCTTACCGTATTCACAATGACAGGTGCTGGCGGCTGCACTGGGATCCTCCCTGAGCTTTCATCAACTGAAACAAAACATAATATTTTCATACCAGATTTTTGCACATTTTATCTATACTAGAACTCTTTGACTGAAGTGTTTTCTCAATGGAAGAGCGCCCGTCTCACGACACCCAACACCAACTACCTTATCCAGAAAACTCAAGGAGCTATTAAGAAGATGTATCCGCTAAAATCCAGGTCGTCTCCACTATCAATGAAGATGCCTCGCTCACAAACTCACTCACTTCTCTGGAACACCGTAGAGAAGTTGGCGATCTGGCACTATTTTATAGATATTTCCATGGACGATGCTCTTCTGAAATATCAACAATTGTTCCTCCCTTGGCAGTCCCCGCGAGATTGACCCGTCGAGTTGAGGCTTCGCACCCCTTCGTGGTCACTTCGGAGACCTGCAGAACATCTCTTTCCAAAGACTCGGTCATCCAAGGGAGGTATTCCCCGAGGCATATAACCTGAAGAAATTTGAGAACACCAATTCCTACCTTATTTCCCTTTGTTCTCACGATGTTCTCTGAAAATTACAGGATATCCCTTTTCGTGGGAACCAGGACATTTAGTGAAAGAAAAATATTGGCTTTCCTGTGAAAAAGAATAGTTATGACTTCTGGTACTCCTCAAATGTTTTCCCAAATTTGACAGATTTCCAATAGTTTTTCTCGAATCATGATTCTTCCTCTTACTCACGCTCAGAAATGAGCCCGATAATTTAAGAAATATCATATTTATCGAGTTATTATCTCAAAGAGGAAGTTAATTTGTAAGGTGTTCAGCCTTGGTGGAACAAAGAAGCCGACGTTGAAGAAACAATATAAAGAAGAAGAAGACGAAGCCTAACATAAGAATGATAGCCAATAGAAAAAGTACCCACACTAGGTCTTCTTCTGGTCACAGTAAATGATACTTATACCATGCATGCGGTAGTTTTTGGTTTATGTTTCTATATCTGTTCAATCAAGTAACGGAGATATCTGTTGTATAAGAAATCCTTCATCACCCTGTATCTACTGTAGCACTCATGCATAATGAATTAATAAATAAGATACCATTGTTTTTGACATCGTTCATCTTCTTTGCATCGTGCTCATCTTCCTACAGATGCTTGTACCTGGCTCACTAGAATTAGTGGTCTATCACTTGGAGACGTGACCACGTGACACCCACTTCATAATTTACATACAGTGAAGTGAATGAATGGACGTTATAATCGCCTGAAAAATGATGATAGTGCCACTTTGGGATTTGTACGCAATAAGAGTCATTTTTCAAAACCGTATTGTTGCTTGAATGGAAATTATCTTTGGAGATGATCAAGAGCTACCAGTAGGCAGTTGGATTATCATACTCGAAATTTCACAATATCTCTCTTCCAATCCAATATCTCTAGTCAATCCGATAAAAACGTTTAGGAGAAGTATACAGTGTTGCTTCATAATTTATATGATTTTATGTAAAAAAGGCCCATGACAAAAATGTGCGATATTGCCCCCGCGTGTCATTTGTCATCTACTTGACATGGAATGGAATGTGAGGTTACGATGTACTTGATTTGTGGAGATGACTTAGATATTATTTATTCTCTCTTCTATCACTACTTTTACTACTACTACTCCAGTTTGAGGAGTATGGATTTCTTCACAATATGATGTGTATTATCCGTCCCTTTTCAATAGGTCAGTGAAGAATAAATAAATGTTGACAGCTGACATGACCTCCAACCTCACCAATGCCATCTGCTACGAACTTTTACAAGTTATCTGCCATTCCATTGAAAAGAGTTTATGAATATGGGATATAGTTATTTTCATAATCCCCAACTGATGTTATTTTGATTTAACGGTATTTAGATTTCAATTGAATGGATAATGTTAACAACCTCCGTCCGTTAAGATTCTTTAACGGCCCACTGCTGTTAACTGTTCCATAATAACACGATGTTGGGATTCTTCTGAACAAATACGAGGTAGGTTCTTTCTCCGAAATCAAAATGTAATCTTTCATCGGGATCACGAAAAGTCTTGAACAACACACGGCCGATACGAGATTAATATTGTATTCCGAAGCGCAGCCGAGGATTATAACAACCTCATCTGTTATTTGCGTATCGACCGTGTTCCTTTCAAGACTTTCCGAAATACCGCTGAACTTTAACGGCCGCCGGCCGTTAAATAATCTTAACGGACAGGGGACTTCAATTGTCATCTGAATACCGTTAAATCAAAATATCAGTATGAGATTATGAAAAAGATATAATATTTGAAGTAGAGATATATTATGACTGAGGTACTAAAGAAAAGTGTCTTCAGTAGCGTGGCGCTATAAGTCATACTTCTCCTATTCTATGGCTATACAGGGTGATTCACTTTTTGGTAGCGAAATATTGAGAACTGATAGAAGACCCCTATTTGGGGAAGTTCTAGATATCAATATCAATATCAATATCAAATATTGCAAAAATAACGTTCTTCAGCAGATTTTCGAATAATCATCACCTTCAGAATTATTCATAATGGCATGGAGTCTTGTATTCTCAGGCCTCAGAGTGTACAATACTTACAATAGTAATAACTCAGCTTGTGGACAGCTATCGCTCTCAAATGTCGATTTCCGCCATACTATAACTCATTATTATGTCTACAAACGTTTCGAAATATCAAATTCAATGTATACCTGTTCAAAAACGAATAGATTTTGTCAGTACACACCTTTGAATGAATATAACAATAATAAATAAGAACGAGCCATGCATTCATCTGAATCGTGGGTGTGTCCAAGATTTCCATTTATCTATACTCGAGTGTCAAATTTTAATAGGTGAATAATAAATGAGATTATGCCTACCTGTTGCTTTCCTATTACATAGATGTAAGTACTCAATATTCCTGTCAAGAAAATAACATCAGTCATTTTTAATATATAAATAAACCGTTATAAATGTTACGTATACAATTTTGAAATGTGTCATTAAAATAATTGGAGAGCAAGTGATATGTGTGGTACAATAATTGTTAGTATATGTTTTTCAACAATGGGTTTGGCAGAACAATAGCTGAAATAATTTTGAGGAATCTCTAACATTCTTGAAATATTTTTCTTTCAGGAGCAATGTCTATCTGACTATATTTTCCTCAAAATTACCAATTTAAAATATTGTTAGTTGAAATAGTGAAGTCACTCACCAGTTCAATCATGAGAAGACGAGAGTCCAGAAACTGGAATTAAATAATCTAGCTACTCAAATGGAATATGCAGAGTCTTCAAAGATGTCGAATCTGCTACAATAGGTATTTGGAAAAGGAATGAAGGTTAGACGTTAGTATCACGAAAAAAATACCGAATACGGTTTCAAACTCCAGACTGTCCAAATAACACTCGGGCCAAGTTTCTGTTAGAACAAGAATTAAAACTCTCATCATAAGGACCAAGTGCAACGGATAGTAGAATAATTAAAACTCGAATTAGAAGATTATTATTCGCATAGAAAGTTTTCTTGATCAGAAAATGCGTTGAACAAAGTGCTAATTCATGTTATAATTCCATAAAAAAGATGTAGGCAACCATTATTTTTTCAAAATTCAATATAGACCTTGATTATATACACTATACTCAATGATATAGATCATTTTCGTATGGAATGACCTTTGCGCTAAACCTCATTATATTCAAAGTATGGGCGAAAAACTGCGATAAAACGAAATTTCCCGTCTTTTCAACCACCCCCCACCCAAACTCGGCTGAGTGTAACTTTTTACTACGTGTTGAGGGAAGTTGACGGATCAATTTGGCGCCGAGATCAACTTTTTTTTATGTTTGGGTTTGAGTAATTTTTGAGCTAGTTTTATCGTACATATAGGGTTGTGTTTTGAGCTTACCATTCGATGCACCATTTCCAACGACTTTCCTTGGACACGTTCCGTTAACGAAAGGCGGCGCAGAATCATGTGTACATACGCATGCGTGGCGCCCGTGGTCCAAGTTCTTGCAGCCTAGCTCTCCCTTGCATAGCTCTGGCTGGCAGACACCTGGCAGACTGATTTCATCCCTCTCGCCTGGAAATTAATGAATTATAATAGTTAGAGAATCCATTTTCAGTATAGACAGAATTATTATCCCTAATAGCACACAACGTCCTAGGGACGTCCCTATCTGGTACAATTCATGTCCGAATGCCCTGGACCAGAAATAAGTATCTTTGGGACGTCCCATCCCGTACATCTCATGCAATGTCCGAGCAAGGACGTCCACGGAATGTCCCAGCTGGTACATCATTTCAAATGTCCTGGAAATAGCATCCCTTAGACGTCCGACGTGGTACATATTGTAGAATGTCCATGCAAGGACGTCCTTGGCAAGTCCCTGATAGGATATGACTTTAAACGTTCCTCTAGGAACATCCATCGGATGTCCCGAGTAGTACATATTCTGGCATCACTTCAGATCTTATATAATGTCCCTTTTAAACAACCATGGAATGTCTCTGATGGTACATTCCTCCAAATATCTCTGCACAGACGCCCTTAATATTTCCAGGATCGTATAACAATCGAAATGTCCCTTAGGGATATCCGTCGGATGTTTCAATTGGTACATTAGCTGTACTTTTCCAATGTCCTAGAAATAACGTCCTACGGACGTCCTAGTCGGTACTTTCGATATGTTGTCCCTGCGAGGACGATACACCTCGCCGACGAATGATTGCTCGTAGGCTATAAATACTCCCCGTTAATGTCCTTCAGGTAAGTCCATTGGACGTTCTTGGGAAACTTTTTCAGGATCTATTGGGGACCTTCTACGGACCATCAACTCAACTGGATGTCCTCATCAGCTATGCTAGATCTGGTCCTAGAGGGACCCAGAAAAATTCGAATTCAAGAATAATTCGTACGTCCCAGGGATATCTCTCAGCGTTGCTGATAGATTTTCCAACGGATGTCCGAGTGGACTGATAATGAATTATTGGCATTCACTCCACTGAATTCATTTTTGCAATACTTCTTAAATGATGACGTCAGTTTCTGTGCTGTATCATGAAGCAAGGTTGTCAAGCCACCAATTATAACAAGTTATCAAAAATATGTTTGAGTCCTGTCGCTGAATGAAACGTAATAGGAGGAAGTTAGTTCAGTATGTACAGGGTGGTCCATGAATTATTGTACATAGAAGTGAAGTAGGTTTCTGAAATCATAACATTGTGTTTTGGACCAACCCAACTTGATTTCAAGTTTTTGAACAGTTTTTGAACAGAGATGCATAAAAGGTGCGAAAATGAGGGTTTTTGGATATGAGAAATCATAACTTGTATTTATAGTTTATACTTCGATTTATTCTTTGGAGGGCGCCACATAACCCAAATTTATGACATGAATGCGACCTCTCCTTTCTTGTTGTTCATGGTATTCTCATGGACAAATATTGAATTTACGATATTCCACCCAAAAAACGTTATACTTGCTATCAATCACAAAACTTTTTTCGAGTTATACAGGTTGTATCTGAATAACACAAATTCAAGGGGTGTTCTCTTGTGACATTCTAGCAAATAAAGTTCATATGAACATGTGTCGTAACTTGCTCCGTTTCTGAGATACATGATGTTGAAGTTGGAAGTATTAATTGTTTTCATTTATAAACATCCTGCATAAGCTCTCATGGTGCCAAAAATTCAGTATGGACGGAGACTGAGGAAGCCCCAAAATTTCAGAATGATTCTAATTGGGGTTATTGAGTAATCTCAATGGAAGTCTTGAAAGCATTTACATCAAAATTTGGAGTCAAATCGAATTTTTATTGTTTCCTCAAAAACTAAGCTATAGATACAAAAATCACACAGAGAATAAAAAAGTTGTTATTTCAATAGTTCAATCCAATAAAAATATCAAATCGGTGGTGTACAATGACATTCACCATGAATATCGATAAATTCACCCACTCTGACGCCAAATATCATTTCGAATCTAATTGCACTAGAAGATAAATACAGGTACACCCGAGGGTACACCCATATATATTTTAGAGATCAGCTGAATTATTCTCATTCGATTTATCAAACAGTTCTCTCCTTTTCCATCATTCTCCTCAATGCTACAACGTGGCCGTATTGAAAAATAGAGAGATCCGATAAATCTTTCCTTGTCTAACCCCTAGTCTTCGCCACTGAACTATTTTCGATGTTTTTCGCGATAGAAAATAATACGTCACTACACCTGAGGGTGAAAACTTGATCTCTGAGCGGTTTGTTTTGATGATGTGACCAATGAGCACGAACATAAAACAAATGTGTACCAAAGAAAACAGAGAAAACATGTTGCTTTGACAGCTTTCAAGAATTCTGATAGGGGGCGTACGCTCATTTTCTATCGTGAATAATGATATTCCTTTCTTCTGAACTGACATATTTTATATAGACTGAACTGAATCAGTTAACATGCATTCTAGATAATCAAATTCTTTTGCAAGAACACATAAATACTGAATTAGTTCATTTCTTTTTTTTTCGCAATTCGCAATTGCATACCTCGTTAGTCCCAGCACTGGGACCAAACGCCCCATAAGTCGAAACTTGTGCGGGGTTAGGTATACATACAAACACAAACATCCATGGCCTAACTAGGATTCGAACTTAGGTCTCGGTGGGAGTCCCCATACGAACTCAGCGCCTTAACGTTCTCGACCACCGAGCCGCCTAGTTAGTGAGATATTTCAGTTAGTTTAGTTTATGTCATAAATGTCATCGACTGATAACGTTTCAAATTTTCGAAATGATATAACAGATTATATCATACTTAATTCGACATGTTTTGTTAATATCGTTAATGTTTCACTCTGTTGAATTCAAAAATAGTTCAGTGGCACAAACTAGATGTAAGACAAGGAACGATTTATCGGACCTCTCTATATTTCAATGCGGTCAAGTTGGTAGCATTGAAGAGAAAGATGGAACAGGAGAGAACTTTCCTCTCTCTCGTTCAAGGTAGAAAAGAGCTCAATTGAGACGGGTGCCGAATCCTATAGGGAAATATTTAAATGCGTCCGGCCCTGACTGTCGAAAAATCAAGGACCTTATGCAGGCATGCCCATTTTTTATATCATCAGCTTCCAACTAGTCATCGATATACAAGATGACACCGAATTCTCATAAGAATGCTCACTCTTCACTAATTAGATAACAAAAAAAAAAAAGATCCAAAACCCAATTAAGATTTAAAATGATTGCATCCACAACCAACACACCAGAGTATGTGTTCTCGATATTATAACAGTGTCTTAGGTCTTAGCTCTATTGCGAAATAGTGACAGTGGCGGTGGGTATTGGTATAGTTGAATTGTACGGGTGGTGCAATTTGTAGTTCAATCTACAAGTATGGATTAATAATCTGAATCTCAAAGATCTAACAATATATACACTATCCTCATTTGCCTCACCGTCCTATACACAGCGTTAAAAGTCACATGAAGAGAAAAAGGCTGATCGGTATAGCTGCATGTGCCTCAAATATAAGATATTGTTTCACGAGTGACGAAACCGAAACTATTCGAAGCGAGAGAAACGTTCGCGAGTTTCGCTTTTCTAAAGAAAGAGAAAATACATGCATGAGCCTATGGTGGCGTTGTATTCAACCAGGTTGTTGGTTCCCCAGGCTTCAGCAGGATCTTCATTGACAGCATTGCCTTGCCTTCGTCGTGAGTCCTTAGTTTCCTGGAATGAAATGAGATTTTTGGAAGAGAACGCAGTACTCTTGTTGGGAGTAACCACTTAGCCTATACTTGAGTGATCTGCCTGAAAGTGAGAAAAGTAGATGAAAGAAGACTGAGGTGGTAAGCCGTATGATGGTAGTTTGGAAGCTTGCCATTATATGGGTAACGTATATAGGCAAGTATAAGTCTCCATAGTTTTGCAGTATTGTCTATCAATGATGGTTCTTGGCGAGCTTTCCAGATGTTTGATAATAGCTCAATGTTGATGACTTTCTCTATGAATTCACTTCCAACGTAGAGGTGTACTAAGATAATTATACACAAATCATAAGTCGTATCAAATATACTTGCATTGGACGAAATATTTTACACTAGTTTCGTGTGAATGTCTTTTCAAAAAACACAGATCAACCTGAACTAATGAGATATCGCTAATCACAATATAATTTCCAACGATGTCATTGATTTGCCATTTTATATCTGATGGAAATTCTAGTTTCTTTCGTGTAGTTTGAACGCGTACTGCAATGCGGAATGAATGACATATTCATTATTCCAATTTTTTTGGGGATTTTCTCTCCTCGTGTCTATAAAATAAAAATATGAATATCATTTCAATATACGTGTAGTAAGGAGAAATCATATGATTTGCCCCAAAATGTTTCTGCGTTTAAAGAATTTTCCTATCAGAGAGCCTAAAAGAAAAATTCACTAGCTTGACAGTGACAATTTGTATTGAAACAAGTTTGGAGAAGAGAAATAAAGGTATATAGAGAAAATATCAAATTTTCACTCATCTTTGGACGTTTCCGGATCGAATCTGCTCCCGTTTTCAATATAAAAAATGGTTATTTGAATAGCAAAGTCGTATCTGTCTTGAAACTTTTCAGTTCTCAGTGAGAACATTCTGGGACAAATCATCTGGGAATGACAATAGTCATCAAATTCATTGGGTAGTTGATTATATGATTTACAGGCATTGTACGTAAAGGAAAAAGGAACGTTGAAAGGTAGACGTCTTATGATTATAGATTGTCAGATATATTATAGATATACCGATAAAGACTTGATATACTCACTGTGTGTATATATGTATAATTTTTTTCATATTTATAATATATCTGAGAATATTACATTTCAAACATATCTGTGTTTGAGGAAACACTCCGGGATTTGTCCATAAGTTGGAAATCGAAATTATAGTTCTATTGTGTGTATTATAATATATTTATTATTTTTTCAGTTTTCAAGTCTTCTCACCTCTTTATGTATACATTCAGTTCCAAAAAAAGTTACGCACTTGATATTTAAACAATCTTTGAAAAAAAAATAGTTGGCCGATTTTTATTTTTTTT